GGACGATGTATGATGACGATGGTTATCCGTCGTTGTCTCCCACTAGGTGATTCACTAAGTGCTAGTAGATTGATGATGTCGGTTCTTCTCTGTCTACACAAAGCAGTCACTGTATCGTTGTGTGACAGTTCACTAATTTACTTTACCACTGATCACAGTCACCACTCAAAAAAAAAAAAAAAAAAAAAAAAAGAAGAAAAAAAAAAAAGCTTTTGCGAAATCTGTGTAAATTACATCACAGTGTGTGTGTGTGTGTGTGTGTAATATTAACAATTATATAACTATCATCACAAATTGTTACTTGTTTAGCTAAACGAACTATGGGGTTCCTGAGCCCATTATGTGCCTCTGTAACCCTTTCCACCACCGCCCACGGGATGGGTATAGGGTTACCTTGAGGTTACCTTGAGGTGCTTCCGGGCTCAGCGTCCCTGCGGCCCGGTCGTCGACCAGGCTTCCTGGTTGCTGGACTGCTCAACCAGGCTGTTAGACGCTGCTGCTCGCAGCCTGACGTATGAGTCACAGCCTGGTTGATCAGGTATTCTTTGGAGGTGCTTATCCAGTTCTCTTTTGAACACTGTGAGGGGTCGGCCAGTTATGCCCCTTATGTGTAGTGGAAGCGTGTTGAACAGTCTCGGGCCTCTGATGTTGATAGAGTTCTCTCTCAGAGTACCTGTTGCACCTCTGCTTTTCAACGGGGTATTCTGAACATCCTGCCATGTCTTCTGGTCTCATGTGATGTTATTTCTGTGTGCAGGTTTGGGACCAGCCCCTCAATTATTTTCCACGTGTAAATTATTACGTATCTCTCCCGCCTGCGCGGCTCAAGGGAGTACAGATTTAGGCTCTTTAGTCGGCCCCAGTAATTTAGATGTTTTACTGAGTGGATTCTAGCAGTAAAAGATCTCTGCACGCTCTCCAGGTCAGCAATTTCTCCAGCTTTGAAAGGGGCTGTCATTGTGTAGCAGTACTCCACTCTAGAGAGCACAAGCGTTTTGAAAAGTATCATCATCGGTATAGCATCTCTAGTGTGAAAAGTTCTTGTTATCCAACCTGTCATTTTTCTTGCAGTTGTGACGGCTACTTTATTGTGTTCTTTAAAGGTAAGGTCTTCCGACATGAGTACACCCAGATCCTTTACATTGCCTTTTCGTTCTATGTCATGATTTGCCTGAGTTTTGTACGTGGTTTCCGTTTTTATATTTTCAATTTTTCTGTAGCGCATGAGCTGGAACTTATCCTCGTTAAACACCATATTATTTTCTGTAGCCCATAGAAAGACCTGATCTACATCTGATTGGAGGTTTGCCGTGTCCTCTATGTTGCCAACTGTCATGAAAATCCTAGTGTCATCTGCAAAGGATGATACAGTGCTATAGGTTGTATTCTTGTCTATGTCCGATATGAGGATGAGAAAAAGTACTGGAGCAAGCACAGTACCCTGGGGGACTGAGCTCTTCACGGTTGATGGGCTGGATTTTATTTTGTTGACTATTACACATTGGGTTCTGTTAATCAGGAAATTGTAGATCCATCTGCCTATTTTCCGGGTAATTCCTTTTGAACGCATTTTATGTGCAATAACACCATGGTCACATTTATCAAAAGCTTTTGCGAAATCCGTGTAAATTTCATCAGCGTTTTGTTTGTCTTCCATAGCATCTAATGCCATATCATAGTGGTCCAGCAACTGCGACAGGCAAGAGCGCCCTGTTCTGAAACCATGTTGTCCGGGGTTATGGAGATGCTGTGATTCCATGTATTTTGTGATCTTACTTCTTAGCACTCTCAAAATTTTTTATGATGTGCGATGTTAGTGCTATCGGTCTGTAATTTTATGCCTCTGCCTTATTTCCTCCTTTATGGAGTGGTGCTATCTCTGCTGTTTTTAGTATGTCAGGGATAACGCCAGTATCTAGGCTCTGTCTCCACAGAATATGAAGGGCCTGCGATAGTGTTTTTTTACAGTTCTTGATGAATATGGAGTTCCAAGTATCCGGGCCTGGTGCAGAGTGCATAGGCATACTGTTTATGGCTTCTTCAAAATCTAGTGGGATAGGGCGACGTCTGATATATGATGTGATGTTGGTATCATATCCATGAAAAATGAGAGTCGACTGCTGGCTGTCGTGGAGGGTGGACGTGTTCACTGCTTGCTCCGGCAGTTGGTGGTTGTTTGCCAGTTTTGGCCGTTTGGGGACGTGTGTGTCTCTGCCCGCCTGTGCTGGCGTGGAGTTCACGATGGGGGTCCCCCTTCCCCCTGTACTGCGGGCTCAGTCTGTGGGCTTCGAATTTTCCGGCCGGGCTGGGTACCCAGGGATAGCGCTAGTGTGTGAGTTGCTTCATGTCCCTGTGATTAATATTTATGGGGTCGAGCTGGTGACGGCACGGCGAACGATAGTGAAGTTCACAGAGGAATTGGCGTATCGAGACTTTCTCCGTCGATTCGAGGGGCAGACATTACCCCTGCCTGATGGTGCGGGCACTGTATCACTCTCTGATCGGAGTGGTGCCCTCACTTATGTCAGTGTGCATGGGGCTCCATTGGAGTTTCCGGAGGCTCTGCTACGGCGGTACTTCGGCCGGTATGGCGCAGTGGTTAGTGTGCGGGTGAACGTGGTATCTTCCAGTCCCCTTAAGGGTGAGAGGACGAACATTCGCACCCTGGGCATGAGGCTCCGGGAAGATATTCCGTCCTCTGTGCGTCGTATGGGTTACAACATTCGGGTGTTTTACGCCCGCCAGCCTTGGACGTGTTATCGTTGTGGCCTCTTGGGCCATCAGGCTGCTGACTGTTCTGCGCCTGCCGTTGCACCCATGAATCTCTTCAGTGAGGAGGATTTTCCGCCGCTTCCTGTGGAGGAGGATTCGGTGGATGTGGAAGTCTCTTCAGCCGCGGATGTGCCCCCTGTGTCGCCTGTTGCGCCGCCTGAGGCACCCCCTGTTGTTGTCGCCTCTCCTCCGGAGGTTGTGTCGTCGCCTGGTGATCGTCCTGCTCCGACTAGTGTCCCTGGGGTTCTTCAGGCTGCCTTCTGCTCGCATCCCCCGTCTTCCAGTTCGTCCTCTGCTGCGTCTGGCCCTGTCCCTGCACCCTCGCCGTCTGTTCCGGCTGTGCTGGGTGATGGGGTGGATCCGGCGCTTCCTCCTGTGCCTGGCCTGGTGCCCCATGTGGTTGAGGATGCTGCCGTTCTGCGACGTGCATCGGTTCGCCCGGCTTGTGTTGCGCGTGTCTCTGAGTCAGCCTCCGGGTCTGATGATGTGCGGCCAGTGCCTAAGCGTTCACGGCGTTCGTCTTGAGCATGGGCTGACGTTGGCGACTTCGACGCTTGTGGATCTGATGGCGACGGAGGGGTGGCACCGGTTGTGTTGCATACTACGGTGACGGCGGAGGTGCATTTGCCTGAGGATGCCGGTGCCGGTGTTTCGGCCTCCGCTTCAGATATGGTGTCTGCGGTTCCTGTTTCGGGTGCGTCGCCTGCCTCGGATGGCTCCGGTTCTTCGTGGGGGGTGGTTCCCCCTGCTGAGGTTCACGGTGAGCGGGGTGGCCTGGTGATGGTGTTGAAAAAGGCTGCTCGCTCTGGGGGTTCTGTAGCCCCTTCCTCGGTCCCCGTTTCATCGGCTGCGGTCTCGACGCCTCTTCCGTCTCCGGCCATCTCTTCAGCGTCTCCTGCGGTCTCGGTGGAGGCGTTACCATCTCGTCGATTGTCCCCTGCTCCTGTGCGTACGGCGATGCGGCCGTCTCGGCAGCCCTCGTACGCTTCAGCGGTGTCGTCTGCTACCTCGAAGGACGTGGTTTGTGCTCCCCAGCCTCGTTATGCGACTTGCGTCGCTGAGCTTAAGGAGTGGCCGTTTCCGCCTGATCTGGTGGTTCCCGAGTTTATGAGTGGCCCACGCCGGCAAGGGGATTGTCCCCCTACAGACAGAGAATATTTGATTTGGGAGGCCTACAAGCGAAGGTATCCTTGGGCTTCGGAGACGTTTGGTCCTGTCTCTGAGAAATGTATTCCTCACTCATGATTCCTTTGTGTATTGTGTGTTGTGGGTTGTTTCCATTTGTGTGCTTGGTTGTGGGGTGCAGGTCGGGTGTGTGAGTGGGTGGGGCAGGTTTGTTTCCTCGTTCCTGCGTGCTCCAGTTTGTGGTTGTGGGTTTATTTGTGTGGTTTGTGTGTGTGTGTGTCCGGTTCCTGTGCGGTCCGGGGTTTGGTTTGTGTGGATGTAATGTTCTTGTGTTAGGATTTGTGGTTCTATGTTATTATTCTTATTCTTATTATTGTTATTATTATTTTCGTTTTGTGTTGGTGCCTCTCAGTGTGTGGTTGCGGTGTTGGAAGCCTTGTTCTGTATATTTAATGTTTTGGTATGGTATTTCTGTATTGTATTTCGCTGTGTTTAACTTATTTGTTGTAATTTGCTTGTAATTATTGTTGTTTTGTGGTCGGCCCTTTCGGCCGGCGGTTTTGTGTTTAGTTCACTTGTTCCCTTATGTTTTTGCACGTTTGTGTTGTCATTTTGTTCTGTTCTATGTTGTATTTGTTTCCTTTTATTGTAGTTATAAGCATGCTTGCATGTAAAAAAAAAAAAAAAAAAAAAAAAAATATCCATGAAAAATTAATTTGGGTGCATAATAAGTAAATGTGTGCATAAATGGGTGCATAATAAGGGTGCATAATAAGTAAATGAATGAAATTAAATAGCAGACAGAATATACTAAGTTGACCTCGACCTTGCAGCTGACCTGCCAGCCTGGTCAAATGCACAGCTTATGTGTGGTCTTGGCGACCAGGTCAGGCTCGGTCTTGGCGACCAGGTCTGGTGTGGACTTAACGTTCAGGTCATATGTGACCATGAGGAGCAGTTCAAGTGTTGTTTTGACGAAAAATTCAGGTGAGGTTTGGACTACCTGGTTAGATGTATCTTGACGATTGAAGAGAGAGTCTACGACGAAGTACTGACTACAGCCTCACCTGTGACCATCATTACACTACTGACTGGAGCCTCACCTTTAGGCACGACGAGGATGAGGAGACACGCCGCTCCACAGATGGTGAAGAGAACACTCAGGTTGAGACGTCGACCAAACCTTCGGAGAAAATACGTACATTAAAATGATTGTGAGGATGTTATGATTCTTATGGGACGCCTGAGAACATAAGCAAGTTAATGTATACATTAAAACGTAACTTTTAACCTCATCATTAGTGTGTGAAGCACAGAGATGCAGTTTTCCTTTAGTTCTTAACACTGTAAATGTGAATGACGATCATGATGTAGGCTGATGTAGCTGTAGCGTAAAGTAGAGTGGTCTACGGCGAAGATTTGGCACTCGCAGCCACTGCCATTCTTTACAGCCTCGTGTAATAGAGTTATACCACAAAGGTAATTCAGAGATTCTTATATATTCAAGCCTTCTGTGTCTATAATTCTTGTCCATGTCAGAAATTCCGACACTAGATTACTAACACCCAATATAACTAGTAAACACGGTTATACTAGGAACATCCTAACATATTAGTAACTAACTTCATTTTAAGTAATCGGGTTTCAGTGGATTCTCTCAGAGAATAGGAAGCTCACCACGTATCCTAGAAACACCAGCCCAGGGACTAAATACGATAAAAAAGGTATTCTCCAGGAATGGATTTAACTAAAACACAAACAAAAACATAGCCTATGTCAAGTAGACAATGTTCTAGACTATCAGTTTCATATATGCAATAAATGAAAACTAGTTAGATTTCAATCAAACTTTTTTGACGAGTTGTATATGAAAAGGGTTTCATCTGGTCCCAAGTTTCAGCATCGTAGCATACATAGGAAGGGAGAAAAAAATATTGAATTATGTGTCAAAATTTTTCCAAAATGGTAAAAAATTAACATCAAACACAAGTGTCGACTGAAATAATGTCTATGACTCTCAGTTATCACAATAGCATATAATACAAAAAAATAATTAGTTTTATCCCCCCAAAATTTAGTTAATTTTGTTTCTTATTTGTTTATCAGACAATTTGCATGAAACTTATAACCTGACTGCACGTAAGCCTATCTGTAAGGGTGCCAATTTTGGAGAAAATTGGTTGATGTTAACCTCAGCCACAGATGGTAGCACCTTATTTTTTAATTATTTCTTTTCAAGTAAAATAAACGTAATCTCTACTCTTTCAATTTTTATTCAGTTTATATGAAACTTACATCTTATATGTAGAGTTTATGTCTCTACAATCTGCATGAAGCGTTTTCCCCTAAGTTTATTTATTAATTTTATAAATAGTAATAAACATGATATATTTACACAATTTTTTGGGGGAACTTTAACTATTTGTTTTAGTAAAACTAAACATATTTTGGAAAATCCGCTCATACAGAGTCTTTATTATATGCGAATGTGATAGAAGAGTGTCATAAAAATGATTTCATTTGAAACTTGTGGTTGTAGAGGCTTATTGAAAATGTATAAAATTCGCTGAAAAAAAAAAAAAAAAAAAAAAAAAAAAAAAAAAAAAAAAAAAAAAAAAAATATATATATATATATATATATATATATATATATATATATATATATATATATATATATATATATATATATATATATATATATATATATATATATATGTCGTACCTAATAGCCAGAACGCACTTCTCAGCCTACTATTCAAGGCCCGATTTGCCTAATAAGCCAAGTTTTCATGAATTAATGTTTTTTCGTCTACCTAACCTACCTAACCTAACCTAACCTAGCTTTTTTTGGCTACCTAACCTAACCTTACCTATAAATATAGGTTAGGTTAGGTTAGGTAGGGTTGGTTAGGTTCGGTCATATATCTACGTTAATTTTAACTCCAATAAAAAAAAATTGACCTCATACATAGAGAAAAGGGTTACTTTATCATTTCATAAGAAAAAAATTATAGTAAATATATTAATTCAGGAAAACTTGGCTTATTAGGCAAATCGGGCCTTGAATAGTAGGCTGAGAAGTGAGTTCTGGCTACTAGGTACGACATATATATATATATATATATATATATATATATATATATATATATATATATATATATATATATATATGGACAGAGACAGAGATTCAGAAACAGAGGCTGACAGACACGGCAAGAGACTGAAAGACAATGAGACTGACATATATGGCGTATACTGTACCTTGCAGGTTGGCCTGTTGTTGATAGTGTAATTTTATGCCAATAAATGGCATATGCTTAAACGTATAGCTGATATTTGCTTTGCCTGTTTTTAGTGCTTTCCGAACGACAGATGGAATCAGGTGTTTTATTGTATTCATCGTAAACATGTACAAATCACGTCGCTTATTATGAAGGATTATACCATACTTTTATTAGGTACCTGGAGCTCTGAATATTATTTTATCCACTTTTGAGGCTATCATTATAATGCTTCTGAAGTTTTCCCATGCAGGCTGTTGAGAAAGATTGGTAGATAGATAGAGACAGGGAGAGAGAGAGAAAGAGACAAGACAAAGAGACAGAGAAAGAGGGAGACAGGCACAAAGATAAAGTGAGGCAGAGACAAAGATAGAGGAAAAGATAGAGATAGAAGGAAGATGGATAAATAGGTGTAGGATAGATGAATAGACAGATGAGTAGACGGACGGATAGACAAAGAGATAGATGGATAAATTGACAGAAAGAGAGTTGGGTGGATATACGGATAGAAAGATGACTAGGTGCATGGATAGGTAGATAGACAGAAACCTAAATAGATAGACAGAAAGCTAGATAGACTGATAGATATATAGAAAGCTGGATTTATAGAGAGATAGAAAGCTAGATGGTTAGGTAAATAGAAAGCTAGGTGGATATATAGATAGATACAGTCTATCCCTCTATCTATCCATCAATCTATTTTAAAATCTATCCATTCATTATCCATCCATCTACCAATCTTGCCATCCATCTATCCATTTATTTATCCATCTATATCCGTCTCCACCCATCCATCTTTCCATCTATCCATCAATTTAACCATCCTTCTTCCCATCCATATAGTCATCTACCTACCATCCATATAGTCATCTACCTACCATCCATATAGTCATCTACCTACCATCCATATAGTCATCTACCTACCATCCATATAGTCACCTACCTACCATCCATATAGTCATCTACCTACCATCCATATAGTCATCTACCTACCATCCATATAGTCATCTACCTACCATCCATATAGTCATCTACCTACCATCCATATAGTCATCTACCTACCTATCTATCTATCCATTTATCTATACATCCATCTGTCCATGTATCCTTCCATCTATTTTTCTGTCCATCTATCTGTGCAGCCATCAATCTATATATCCATCTAACTTTATATCCATTTGTCTATCCAGCTATCTATCCATGAACTTACCCACTTTCCTATCCATCCAACTATCTTTCCATTTATCTATTCATCCATCTATTTATCCCTCTATATCTTCGTCTGTCCATGCATCATCTACTCATCTGTCTATCCATCATCCAATTTATGCATCTATCTACTGTCTATATCTGGCTCTGTCTCCTTCTCTCTCGGTCTCTCTACATCTGTCTCTGTCTGTCCCCCCTCTATCTATCTCTTTCGGTTTCTCCCTTCTTTGTCTATATGTTTCAAGCTGTGTCTCTCAGTTTCTACTCTCTGAGTCTATGTCTCTGGATTTGTCTTTGTCTATCTCTGTCTTTGTCTGTCTCTGTTTCTGTCTCTGTCTTTCTCTCCCTTCCGTGTCTCTGTCTATATCAATCTCTGTCAACAGCCGGCATGGGAAAACTTCAGAATCCTTATTATGATATCCTCAAGAGTGGATAAAGTAACTACAAAGCAAAATTCAACGTCAGGGAGTCTGAATGTGGCACTGGCACGCTGTTCTCCTTCGAATACTGGCGACTCCAATGAGCCTATGTTCGTCGCTAACCCCAGACCACTCCCTGTGTCAATTTGGGTGAAGCTAGGCCCGAGCGTCTGGCCTGCAACTTTGGACAGACAGACAGACACTCTCTTTCAGACATAAAGTTGCACAGAATGATTATAGTGACAGTGTCTGAGGAGGGAATTATCAAGGGAAAGCACCAAGCCATTACGGCTATATAGCACTTGAAAGGGATCAGGATAAGGATTTGGGATGGGACGGGGGGAAGGAATGGTATCAATCACTTGGACCTTCGGGACTGAACGCCGACCTGCAAGAAGCGAGACCATCGCTCTACCGTCCAGTCAAAGTGGTTGGACAGTGTCTGGGTGAGAGTTCAGAAGCCGACTTACCTCTTAAGGGTCCAGCAGACCAGGAAGTAGGAAGGGATCTCGACGGCGCCGGAGAAGAACACCAGGAGGTAGACGGAGGCGTTGATGTTGCCGCCGCTGAAGGTGAGGCCGTAGTACACCATGCTCACCACGAACCACGAGAAGAATATGATCAGACACCGACGGCGCATGTTCCTGGTGCTCAGCAGAGTGATCTGGTGGTGGAGTGACAGGTTGGTGATCGTTGGTGGTGTTGAGGACGGATGGTTTGGGGTGAATGACGTATTTTGTTATGGTTTTATATATATATACATATATATATATATATATATATATATATATATATATATATATATATATATATATATATATATATATATATATATATATATATATATATATATATATTAGTATATTTTGGTAGCAGTCTTTCCTGTAGACATATATTATTAAATATGACCGAAAAAGTAAGATTAATAATTCTAACACGAATTTTCTCAATCTTTCGTACATTTCTTTTCACTGATGGAGGTAAATCAAAAATCAATTCTCCAAAATTCATTTTTATTTCTAGTCTGACGCAACACGAGCGCGTTTCGTAAAACTTATTACATTTTCAAAGACTTTTAGTTTACAAATACACAACTGAATAGAACTTACGCATCTCCGATTTTATATCTACATTTGAGTGAGGTGGATGGGGTGAGGTGGCATTAATAGGGTATTAATTTCATCAACACAAGACAGAACAAGAGGTGGCATTAATAGGGTATTAATTTCATCAACACAAGACAGAACACGAAACAATGGGTATTGAATAGAAGTGTTTGTAGAAAGCCTATTGGTCCATATTTCTTGATGCTTCTATATTGGAGCGGAGTCTTGAGGTGGGTAGAATATAGATGTGCATTAATTGGCTGTTGATTGCTGGTGTTGACTTCTTGATGTGTAGTGCCTCGCAAACGTCAAGCCGCCTGCTATCGCTGTATCTATCGATGATTTCTGTGTTGTTGACTAGGATTTCTCTGGCGATGGTTTGGTTGTGGGAAGAGATTATATGTTCCTTAATGGAGCCCTGTTGCTTATGCATCGTTAAACGCCTAGAAAGAGATGTTGTTGTCTTGCCTATATACTGGGTTTTTTAAAGCTTACAGTCCCCAAGAGGGCATTTGAAGGGATAGACGACGTTAGTCTCTTTTAAAGCGTTCTGTTTTGTGTCTGGAGAGTTTCTCATGAGTAGGCTGGCCGTTTTTCTGGTTTTATAGTAAATCGTCAGTTGTATCCTCTGATTTTTGTCTGTAGGGATAACGTTTCTATTAACAATATCTTTCAGGACCCTTTCCTCCGTTTTATGAGCTGTGGAAAAGAAGTTCCTGTAAAATAGTCTAATAGGGGGTATAGGTGTTGTGTTATTTGTCTCTTCAGAGGTTGCATGGCGTTTCACTTTCCTTCCTATGATGTCTTCGACGAAACCATTGGAGAAGCCGTTGTTGACTAGGATCATGAGAAACTCTCCTGACACAAAACAGAACGCTTTAAAAGAGACTAACGTCGTCTATGCCTTCAAATGCCCTCTTGGGGACTGTAAGCTCCAAAAAACCCAGTATATAGGCAAGACAACAACATCTCTTTCTAGGCGTTTAACGATGCATAAGCAACAGGGCTCCATTAAGGAACATATAATCTCTTCCCACAACCAAACCATCGCCAGAGAAATCCTAGTAAACAACACAGAAATCATCGATAGATACAGCGATAGCAGGCGGCTTGACGTTTGCGAGGCACTACACATCAAGAAGTCAACACCAGCAATCAACAGCCAATTAATGCACAACTATATTCTACCCACCTCAAGACTCTGCTCCAATATAGAAGCATCAAGAAATATGGACCAATAGGCTTTCTACAAACACTTCTATTCAATACCCATTGTTTCGTGTTCTGTCTTATGTTGATGAAATTAATACCCTATTAATGCCACCTCTTGTTCTGTCTTGTGTTGATGAAATTAATACCCTATTAATGCCACCTCACCCCATCCACCTCACTCAAATGTAGATATAAAATCGGAGATGCGTAAGTTCTATTCAGTTGTGTATTTGTAAACTAAAAGTCTTTGAAAATGTAATAAGTTTTACGAAACGCGCTCGTGTCGCGTCAGACTAGAAATAAAAATGAATTTTGGAGAATTGATTTTTGATTTACCTCCAACAGTGAAAAGAAATGAACGAAAGATTGAGAAAATTCGTGTTAGAATTATTAATCTTACTTTTTCGGTCATATTTAATAATATATATATATATATATATATCTATATATATATATATATATATATATATATATATATATATATATATATATATATATATATATATATATATATATATATATATATATCTATATCTATATATATATATATATATGTCGTACCTAGTAGCCAGAACGCACTTTTTGGACTACTATGCAAGGCCCGATTTGCCTAATAAGCCAAGTTTTCCTGAATTAATATGTTTTCTCTAATTTTTTTCTTATGAAATGATAAAGCTACCCATTTCATTATGTATGAGGTCAATTTTTTTTTATTGGAGTTAAAATTAACGTAGATATATGACCGAACCTAACCAACCCTACCTAACCTAACCTAACCTATCTTTATAGGTTAGGTTAGGTTAGGTAGCCGAAAACGTTAGGTTAGGTTAGGTTAGGTAGGTTAGGTAGTCGAAAAAACATTAATTCATGAAAACTAGGCTTATTAGGCAAATCGGGCCTTGCATAGTAGGCTGAGAAGTGCGTTCTGGCTACTAGGTACGACATATATATATATATATATATATATATATATATATATATATATATATATATATATATATATATATATATATATATATATGTAGTACCTAATAGCCAGAACGCACTTTTCATCCTACTATTCAAGGCCCGATTTGCCTAATAAGCCAAGTTTTCCTGAATTAATAGATTTTTTCTAATTTTTTTCTTATGAAATGATAAAGCTACCCATTTCATTATGTATGAGGTCAATTTTTTTTTATTGGAGTTAAAAATAACGTAGATATATGACCGAACCTAACCAACCCTACCTAACCTAACCTAACCTATCTCTATCGGTTAGGTTAGGTTAGGTAGCAGAAAAAGTTAGGATAGGTTTGGTTAGGTAGGTTAGGTAGTCGAAAAACAATTAATTCATGAAAACTTGGCTTATTATTCAAATCGGGCCTTGCATAGTAGGCAGAGAAGTGCCTTCTGGCTATTAGGTACGACATATATATATATATATATATATATGTCGTACCTAGTAGCCAGAACTCACTTCTCAGCCTACTATTCAAGGCCCGATTTGCCTAATAAGCCAAGTTTTCCTGAATTAATATATTTACTATAATTTTTTTCTTATGAAATGATAAAGCAACCCTTTTCTCTATGTATGAGGTCAATTTTTTTTTATTGGAGTTAAAATTAACGTAGATATATGACCGAACCTAACCAACCCTACCTAACCTAACCTAACCTATATTTATAGGTAAGGTTAGGTTAGGTAGCCAAAAAAATCAGGTTAGGTTAGGTTAGGTAGGTTAGGTAGACGAAAAAACATTAATTCATGAAAACTTGGCTTATTAGGCAAATCGGGCCTTGAATAGTAGGCTGAGAAGTGCGTTCTGGCTATTAGGTACGACATATATATATATATATATATATATATATATATATATATATATATATATATATATATATATATATATGTCGTACCTAGTAGCCAGAACGCACTTATCAGCCTACTAAGCAAGGCCCAATTTGCCTAATAAGCCAAGTTTTCATGAATTAATTGTTTTTCGACTACCTAACCTACCTAACCTAACCTAACCTAACTTTTTCGGCAACCTAACCTAACCTAACCTATAAAGATAGGTTAGGTTAGATTAGGTAGGGTTGGTTAGGTTCGGTCATATATCTACGTTAATTTTAACTCCAATAAAAAAAATTGACCTCATACATAATGAAATAGGTAGCTTTATCATTTCATAAAAAAAAAATTAGAGAAAATATATTAATTCAGGAAAACTTGGCTTATTAGGCAAATCGGGCCTTGCACAGTAGGCCAAGAAGTGCATTCTGGCTACTAGGTACGACATATATATATATATATATATATATATATATATATATATATATATATATATATATATATATATATATATATATATAGATATAGATATAGATATATATATATATATATATATATATATATATGTCGTACCTAGTAGCCAGAACGCTCTTCTCAGCCTACTATGCAAGGCCCGATTTGCCTAATAAGCCAAGTTTTCATGAATTTATGATTTTTCGACTACCTAACATACCTAACCTAACTTTTTCGGCTACCTAACCTAACCTAACCTATAAAGATAGGTTAGGTTAGGTTAGGTAGGGTTGGTAAGGTCCGGTCATATATCTACGTTAATTTTAACTCCAATAAAAAAAATTGACCTCATACATAATGAAATGGGTAGCTTTATCATTTCATAAGAAAAAAATTAGAGAAAATATATTAATTCAGGAAAACTTGGCTTATTAGGCAAATCGGGCCTTGCATAGTAGGCTGAGAAGTGCGTTCTGGCTGCCCGGACAGGTACAAGAGGAGTGTTGTTAACGCTTATGTCGACCGTGCCCTCAGCCACAGCTCAGAATGGAAGCAAGTCGACGAAGAACTCTGTAGGGTAAGGCAGGTCTTAGTCAACAACGGCTTCTCCAATGGTTTCGTGGAAGACATCATAAGAAGGAAAGTGAAACGCCATGCAACCTCTGAAGAGACAACTAACACAACACCTATACCCCCTATTAGACTATTTTACAGGAACTTCTTTTCCACAGCCCATAAAACGGAGGAAAGGGTCCTGAAAGATATTGTCAGTAGAAACGTTATCCCTACAGACAAAAATCAGAAGATACAACTGACGATTTACTATAAAACCAGAAAAACGTCCAGCCTACTCATGAGAAACTCTCCAGACACAAAGCAGAACGCTTTAAAAGAGACCAACGTCGTCTATGTCTTCAAATGCCCTCTTGTGGACTGTAAGCCTCAAAAAACCCAGTATATAGGCAAGACAACAACATCTCTTTCTAGGCGTTTAACGATGCATAAGCAACAGGGCTCTATTAAGGAACATATAATCTCTTCCCACAAACAAACCATCACCAGAGAAATCTTGCAAACAACACAGAAATCATCGATAGATACAGCGATAGCAGGCGGCTTGACGTCTGCGAGGCACTACACATCAAGAAGTCAACACCAGCAATCAACAGCCAATTAATGCACAACTATATTCTACCCACTTCAAGACTCCGCTCCAATATAGAAGCATCAAGAAATATGGACCAATAGGCTTTCTACAATTACTTCCATTCAATACCCATTGTTTCGTGTTCTGTCTTGTGTTTAGGAATTTAATACCCTATTAATACCACCTCACCCCAAGTACCACCTTTGACAAGCCACCTGCTATCGCTGTATCTATCGATGATTTCTGTGTTGTTTACTAGGATTTCTCTGGCGATAGTTTGGTTGTGGGAAGAGATTATATGTTCCATTATTCCATTGCCACAAAACCTACACGACTTCATCACTGCTCCTTATTATTAACTATAACAGAGTTCTCCATCCCACTAAGTGGGCTAACAAACTCTTAATAAATACAAGACAGAGCACTTAGGGTCTGAATCACTAAACATAAACAGGAAAAAGAGTGTCGTGAGTGTATCATAGATTTCTGGATCTCGGTTTCTTGTTTCATGTCCTTGCCATAACCCTTTTTTATCTTGTAGATTCATTATACCACGGGCTTACGAGTCTACTTCAGTAAGTAGAAGATATGTGTCAAACAAAATACAGCTAGTTAGATTAATTAATATAAACAGTGATATATTGCAATTGTTTAATTATAAGGTAATATACTTTCCAATAAATGAATTTACCTCAATTTTATTTAAAGTAATAATTATACAATTTAATATTGTTAATATTCAAAACATGAGTTAGGTCAAAAAATAAATAAATGTACCACGAATGCTGCATTACAATTAAGGTTTAATCTAACAACGAGATTGAAGCTTAATCTACTGGCAGGTAAATGAAGGCATCATTATACCTTGTGTGGTTTTCCTCATTACTCAAAAGCCACCTAAGGTGAACAGAGAAATTCCAGGAACTTACTCAAGGAGAGAAGCAAAACTTAGCTATTACCAGCAAACATGTAAGACTCAATCTGTTTTCTTAAGTTGGGCCTTTAACTTCCCCTAGTGATAATATCTGAGGAAGTCGATGGATTAAATCTTCACACCATAATCCCAGAATCTAGAAGACGGTCATAGTCGTCATTTCCCCTACTATCTGCCGCCTTGTATCTCTGACACCTCAATTCCACTCTTAGACCTTTGACACGCCAGTGCCTGTCTTGGAACTCTGACACCCTATCCCATGTATCTAAAGCGCTACTATACATTCTACAATTTCAACTTCAAGACTCATTTTATGACAGTCTTGACCTGGAGTGCATGCCATCAACATCTGGTTCTCTCCCATCTATATTCTAATATCAAATTTGTCATGACTGATTTTGCCTTCATCTTGAACTCTTTTACTATTTAATTTCTCAAGACTGATTATACTGCTGTCTTGACCTAGAGTCAGTACCTACTATACTGGGTGCCCTCCCAACCATTCAACCTGTGTCTGCAACTCCTATCATCTTATTCAACAATTTAACTTTTTTTCTATGCCAGTGTTGTTGACACCTTAAGAAGAGCCAAGAGGAACTGAAGCTTGGTCTTCATATGATCATATGGATATACATTCCAACAGGCTCAATACAGACGTCTCATACAATAAAGGTTTAAGGTATGCACGGGATGTCAGAAAAAGTCTTTCATGTATAATATGCTTATTATTGAGTAACGTCATTGGGTTCCCAATTTAAACTTCTTGTCAGAAGTGTAGGTAATGTATAGTTTAGTATGTTCAAGTTACTTTTGAGTTGAAAATATTCTTCTTTTTTCAGCTGTGTTGCTTGCCCTTGAGCATCACTGTCCTGTATATATGTATGTACATATCGTTGCTGGTTAGAGAGCGTGACATAAGGTGAAAGTATATATTTTACAGTAAATTATTCGAATATTATGTTAAGTAAAAGCCCCGATGATAATAAATATCAATCGTATAATTCCAAAATGTGGTATCAGGAATGTGGGAAGTTAAGGTATTTAAATGTATCCAGTTTTGTACATATAAATCTTTCATTTAGTCTTTTTTATATGAGTGACATTGAATCCTCCCTCATAATGGCAAATATAAACAAGGTAATACATACTTGCATTACCTAATATATTTTTAATTCTTACATATTCTAAGATCCCTGACAGGAAGAAGATGGAAATTGAGGGACAAAATGTCCAGAACACAAGGATTTCTTAATGATTGGTGTTAATAAAGTTTTCTATGAAGTTCCTAAGTTGATATCGTTTCATAATTTCTCATACTCAAGACGACTTATACATTTTCAGTTTACAGTGCCCGAGACAACTTTAGCACAATACATAATACCCAAGACATTGACTTTCACACAACATTCATTGCCCGCGACAACTTTGGCACAATCCATAATGCCAATGACAAGGTCTCTCATACAATTTGTAGTGTCCAGTATAACCTCTTTGATACAGCTCTTACTGTCCTATAATACTTCATGGGAAAGGGATATGTTTCATTCACTAAAACCCATTGAAATGCTTTTCTCAATATCATTCCAGTTACATACCTACTAAGATGGTGGCCAATACTTACTATACTTTGAAAGAAGCGGACGAACTTCTTCAGGATGTTGGAACTGGTAGTACTTTGGGCTGTCTGTCAATATAAAGGTGTTTCAGAAACGGTAATTTTTTTTAGTAAACACGCTCATAAAGATAAATTTTAGATTCTTGTAATTATTGATTTGTTATTCATGTAATTGTTTTTGATAACATGCATATTAAAATGAAATCATTCTGGGCAATAATTCAAAGTTGGCATTCACAGAATAAACTCATGCGAAGGTGTTCAGTAGGGAGATCCTCTCTCTTCTCTTCTTTTTATGCTTAATCCTTCAAAGAGATAATCAAAGAATGTTTAACAAACTCAATAATCGAGTTTGGATGATGGAACTCTTCTCAGCTTTGCAAATTTTCTCCTGGTCAATATTAGGAAAATCCAAACTGGAGGAGCTATCTTGAGGTTATCTTGAGATGATTTTAGGGCTTAGCGTCCCCGCATTCCGGTCCTCGACCAGGCCTCCTTTTTGTTATACATCCCCAGGAAGCAGCCCGTAGCAGCTGTCTAACTCTCAGGTACCTATTTACTGCTAGGTGAACAGGGCCATCATTTTCGAAAGAAACTCTGTCTATTAGTTTCTGCCTCCACCGGGGATCGAACCTGGAACCTCAGGACTACAAATCCGAAGTGCTGTCCACTCAGCTGTCAGACCCCTAAGCTGTCAGCTAGCCTAAGCCTCACCCAGAACCCTTCTACATGTAAAATATTCTCCTTCAACTTATGTATCATTAATGAAAAATCTTGTCATTGCGTAATGTAATTATCAACAGAAAGCACCAAGCCAGAGAGACTATATCATAATCGGTGCCGATGTAGTCAACCCATAGACCTCCATTGTGCTCCCCTATGGCTGGACACACTCTACGAAACTCTTGAAAAAAAATATTGACCTAAAGAGGATGGACAACAGGTTTACCAACCTGCTCAATGGTTGCGTATTCAATTCCAGGCAAACTATTTTTTTGAGGAGTTCTCCATCCCATAACACCGATGGGCTAAGCGATTACAACAAATAATAGCGTTTCCAGTGTAGAAAAGTCCTCAACCTTGATTTTGCTTGCTCATAGTAGACACCAGCTACTCTTCCCGTCAGGCTCGGGGCCTCGGTGTCCAACTAACTGTCCAGGTTGCTTAACTGGCCTTCCTATCTTCTTGTATAGAGCTGGATGTCCTGGTCATGGAAATCGTTCTGAAAGGTTCTAAGGATTCTGCAGGGGTTTACGACCCAAAATGAAAACAGTCATCACTAAGGCCCATTCTCTTCCGATCTCGGGATATTCCGCCTTGCTACCCCAATACACTGTATAACAGTGCATTTATTGCGAGGAAGGAGCCGACGAATACGGATTTTAGGTTCTGAATTACGGACACTCCAAGAGAAGACCCACGAGATGCAAAGAAGTCAAAATCATCATAGAGATTTTCTGCACTACCAAGTGCATAGCAGATAAATAACACCGTTTTCTAGTCCCTTGTAATTGGTCGCCCTAATGAAAGTACATTACATGCACGGGACACGATAGACAGCAAGTGCGAGACTAAATATGTGTATCCACTCTGACTGGCATCTACATAAACTTGATCACACGTCAGGCAGGTGGTGCTGCCATCTATTGGAAATTGGCATAATCAAATAAGCACAGTGATCTGGACCACCCATATTATTTTGTCAGTAATCTGAGACCTTCTGTCCATGGAGAAATGCCAAGAATTTCCTCGAAGATTCAGGTTCTAGGCTCATGGAAACCAGAAATCTAAGAAGAGGCAACTTTTTTGCCCAGAACCCACACCTCACCAGCACAACTCCCCAAGTTGTGCCTGCGGGGGTTGAGCTTCGGCTCTTAGGTCCCGCCTTTTAACTATCAATCAACCAGTGTAGAGATTACCGAGTCTGCTGAGTTCAATCATATCTACATTTGAAACTGTGTATGGAGTCTGCCTCCACCACATCAATTTCTAATGCATTCCATTTGTTAACTACCCTTGTGTGGCGATCCAGAATAAATATGCCAATTGCTTCGATGGTTCCTGCAAAACATCTGAAGATATCGAAAAATGTTTTTCAACCTCACATCAGGCAGGAATGCTCTCATCAGGCAGGATGCTATCATCAGGCAGGGATGCTGTCATCAGGCAGGGATGCTGTCATCAGGCAGGATGCTATCATCAGGCAGGGTGCTGTCATCAGGCAGGATGCTATCATCAGGCAGGGTGCTGTCATCAGGCAGGAGTGCTGTCATCAGGCAGGGATGCTATCATCAGGCAGGGATGCTGTCATCAGACAGGGTGCTGTCATCAGGCAGGGTGTTGTCATCAGGCAGGGATGCTGTCATCAGGCAGGGTGCTATCATCAGGCAGGATGCTGTCATCAGGCAGGGTGTTGTCATCAGGCAGGAGTGCTATCATCAGACAGGGTGCTGTCATCAGGCAGGGTGTTGTCATCAGGCAGGGATGCTGTCATCAGGCAGGGGTGCTGTCATCAGGCAGGGATGCTGTCATCAGGCAGGATGCTGTCATCAGGCAGGGTGTTGTCATCAGGCAGGAGTGCTATCATCAGACAGGGTGCTGTCATCAGGCAGGGTGTTGTCATCAGGCAGGGATGCTGTCATCAGGCAGGATGCTGTCATCAGGCAGGGATGCTGTCATCAGGCAGGAGTGCTATCATCAGACAGGGATGCTGTCATCAGGCAGGAGTGCTATCATCAGACAGGGTGCTGTCATCAGGCAGGGTGTTGTCATCAGGCAGGGATGCTGTCATCAGGCAGGATGCTGTCATCAGGCAGGGTGTTGTCATCAGGCAGGAGTGCTATCATCAGACAGGGTGCTGTCATCAGGCAGGGTGTTGTCATCAGGCAGGGATGCTGTCATCAGGCAGGATGCTGTCATCAGGCAGGGATGCTGTCATCAGGCAGGAGTGCTATCATCAGACAGGGTGCTGTCATCAGGCAGGGTGTTGTCATCAGGCAGGGATGCTGTCATCAGGCAGGGATGCTGTCATCAGGCAGGGGTGCTGTCATCAGGCAGGGATGCTATCATCAGGCAGGATGCTGTCATCAGACAGGGTGCTGTCATCAGGCAGGGTGTTGTCATCAGGCAGGGATGCTGTCATCAGGCAGGGATGCTGTCATCAGGCAGGGGTGTTGTCATCAGACAAGGTGCTGTCATCAGGCAGGGATGCTGTCATCAGGCAGGGATGCTGTCATCAGGCAGGGATGCTGTCATCAGGCAGGGATGCTGTCATCAGGCAGGGGTGCTGTCATCAGGCAGGGATGCTATCATCAGGCAGGATGCTGTCATCAGACAGGGTGCTGTCATCAGGCAGGGTGTTGTCATCAGGCAGGGATGCTGTCATCAGGCAGGGATGCTGTCATCAGGCAGAATGTTGTCATCAGACAGGGTGCTGTCATCAGGCAGGGATGCTGTCATCAGGCAGGGATGCTGTCATCAGGCAGGGATGCTGTCATCAGGCAGGGATGCTGTCATCAGGCAGGATGTTGTCATCAGGCAGGGTGTTGTCATCAGGCAGGGATGCTGTCATCAGGCAGGGTGTTGTCATCAGGCAGGGATGCTGTCATCAGGCAGGGGTGCTGTCATCAGGCAGGGGTGCTGTCATCAGGCAGGATGTTGTCATCAGACAGGGTGCTGTCATCAGGCAGGGTGTTGTCATCAGACAGGGTGCTGTCATCAGGCAGGGTGTTGTCATCAGGCAGGGATGCTGTCATCAGGCAGGGTGCTGTCATCAGGCAGGGTGTTGTCATCAGGCAGGGATGCTGTCATCAGGCAGGGATGCTGTCATCAGGCAGGGATGCTGTCATCAGGCAGGGATGCTGTCATCAGGCAGGATGTTGTCATCAGGCAGGGTGTTGTCATCAGGCAGGGATGCTGTCATCAGGCAGGGGTGCTGTCATCAGGCAGGGTGCTGTCATCAGGCCGGGGGCTGTCATCAGGCAGGGATGCTGTCATCAGGCAGGATGCTGTCATCCGGCAGAGTGTTGTCATCAGGCAGGAATGCTGTCATCAGGCAGGGGTGCTGTCATCAGGCAGGGTGTTGTCATCAGGCAGGGATGCTGTCATCAGGCAGGATGCTGTCATCAGGCAGGGATGCTGTCATCAGGCAGGGATGCTGTCATCAGGCAGGGATGCTGTCATCAGGCAGGGTGCTGTCATCCAGCAGGGTGCTGTCATCAGGCAGAGTGTTGTCATCAGGCAGGGATGCTGTCATCAGGCAGGGTGCTGTCATCAGGCAGGGGTGCTATCATCAACCAGGGATGCTGTCATCAGGCAGGGTGCTGTCATCAGGCAGGGTGCTGTCATCAGGCAGGGATGCTGTCATCAGGCAGGGTGCTGTCATCAGGCAGGGGTGCTATCATCAACCAGGGATGCTGTCATCAGGCAGGGTGCTGTCATCAGGCAGGGATGCTGTCATCAGGCAGGGTGCTGTCATCAGGCAGGGTGCTGTCATCAGGCAGGGTGCTGTCATCAGGCAGGGTGCTGTCATCAGGCAGGGATGCTGTCATCAGGCAGGGATGCTGTCATCAGGCAGGGTGTTGTCATCAGGCAGGGTGCTGTCATCAGGCAGGGATGCTGTCATCAGGCAGGGATGCTGTCATCAGGCAGGGATGCTGTCATCAGGCAGGGATGCTGTCATCAGGCAGGGATGCTGTCATCAGGCAGGGATGCTGTCATCAGGCAGGGTGCTGTCATCAGGCAGGGATGCTGTCATCAGGCAGGGATGCTGTCATCAGGCAGGGTGTTGTCATCAGGCAGGGTGCTGTCATCAGGCAGGGATGCTGTCATCAGGCAGGAATGCTGTCATCAGGCAGGGTGCTGTCATCAGGCAGGGTGCTGTCATCAGGCAGGGTGTTGTCATCAGGCAGGGATGCTGTCATCAGGCAGGGTGCTGTCATCAGGCAGGGTGCTGTCATCAGGCAGGGTGCTGTCATCAGGCAGGGGTGCTGTCATCAGGCAGGGTGTTGTCATCAGGCAGGGGTGTTGTCATCAGGCAGGGATGCTGTCATCAGGCAGGGATGCTGTCATCAGGCAGGGATGCTGTCATCAGGCAGGGTGTTGTCCTCAGGCAGGGATGCTGTCATCAGGCAGGGATGCTGTCATCAGGCAGGGATGCTGTCATCAGGCAGGGATGCTGTCATCAGGCAGGGTGTTGTCCTCAGGCAGGGATGCTGTCATCAGGCAGGGATGCTGTCATCAGGCAGGGATGCTGTCATCAGGCAGGGATGCTGTCATCAGGCAGGGATGCTGTCATCAGGCAGGGTGTTGTCATCAGGCAGGGATGCTGTCATCAGGCAGGGTGTTGTCATCAGGCAGGGTGTTGTCATCAGGCAGGGGTGCTATCATCAACCAGGGATGCTGTCATCAGGCAGGATGCTATCATCAGGCAGGGGTGCTATCATCAACCAGGGATGCTATCATCAGGCAGGATGCTATCATCAGGCAGGGGTGCTATCATCAACCAGGGATGCTATCATCAGGCAGGATGCTATCATCAGCCAGGGATGCTATCATCAGGCAGGGATGCTATCATCAGGCAGGGGTGCTATCATCAACCAGGGATGCTATCATCAGGCAGGATGCTGTCATCAGGCAGGGGTGCCATCATCAATTGTTGTCAGGCCAACCAATTATTTTCTCTTACCTCGTGTCCTAAATTCTTCAGTTGCTCCATTTCCTTCTTGTAGGAGAGGACTGCTTCTTCACCCTAAATTCATCGGATTGTTTAATGTATTTTTAATGTAAATTGAAAAGTAAACGCTTAAGTACAATCATATACTTCTATTTTATTGTACTTAAGGTTTAGGAATATTTAGGTACTACTCTTAAAAGGGTCACCTTAACCATCTAAACAATTATACTAATTTATTATGATCTATTGGTTTTGAATGACGCACCTTCTCTCTCCTGCCTTATCATAATTCCCTTTGTCCCTGAACTCCTAACAAAATCTTAGTTACAAAGTTAGTCCCAACAAGATGTTCCACAATGTTCTTCCTCCTTATTGTCTCTTTCTTAAAGGATTTTTACCACATGTGCGGTTTTTAGGCTGTCTGTGGCCTCTTCTGCCTCTACTGTTGTTCTGTCTGTGGGCTCTTCTGCCTCTACTGTTGTTCTGTCTGTGGCCTCTTCTGCCTCTACTGTTGTTCTGTCTGTGGGCTCTTCTGCCCCTACTGTTGTAGTGTCTGTGGGACCTTCTGCCTCTACTGTTGTAGTGTCTGTGGGCTCTTTTGCCTCTACTGTTGTAGTGTCTGTGGGCTCTTTTGCCTCTACTGTTGTAGTGTCTGTGGGACCTTCTGCCTCTACTGTTGTAGTGTCTGTGGGCTCTTTTGCCTCTACTGTTGTAGTGTCTGTGGGCTCTTTTGCCTCTACTGTTGTTCTGTCTGTGGGCCCGTCTGCCCCTACTGTTGTAGTGTCTGTGGGCTCTTTTGCCTCTACTGTTGTAGTGTCTGTGGGCTCTTTTGCCTCTACTGTTGTAGTGTCTGTGGGCTCTTTTGCCTCTACTGTTGTAGTGTCTGTGGGACCTTCTGCCTCTACTGTTGTAGTGTCTGTGGGCTCTTTTGCCTCTACTGTTGTAGTGTCTGTGGGCTCTTTTGCCTCTACTGTTGTAGTGTCTGTGGGCTCTTTTGCCTCTACTGTTGTAGTGTCTGTGGGACCTTCTGCCTCTACTGTTGTAGTGTCTGTGGGCTCTTTTGCCTCTACTGTTGTAGTGTCTGTGGGCTCTTTTGCCTCTACTGTTGTAGTGTCTGTGGGCTCTTTTGCCTCTACTGTTGTAGTGTCTGTGGGACCTTCTGCCTCTACTGTTGTAGTGTCTGTGGGCTCTTTTGCCTCTACTGTTGTAGTGTCTGTGGGACCTTCTGCCTCTACTGTTGTAGTGTCTGTGGGCTCTTTTGCCTCTACTGTTGTAGTGTCTGTGGGACCTTCTGCCTCTACTGTTGTAGTGTCTGTGGGACCTTCTGCCCCTACTGTTGTAGTGTCTGTGGGACCTTCTGCCTCTACTGTTGTAGTGTCTGTGGGCTCTTCTGCCTCTACTGTTGCAGTGTCTGTGGGCTCTTCTGCCTCTACTGTTGAAGTGTCTGTGGGCTCTTCTGCCTCTACTGTTGAAGTGTCTGTGGGCTCTTCTGCCTCTACTGTTGTAGTGTCTGTGGGCTCTTCTGCCTCTACTGTTGCAGTGTCTGTGGGCTCTTCTGCCTCTACTGTTGAAGTGTCTGTGGGCTCTTCTGCCTCTACTGTTGTAGTGTCTGTGGGCTCTTCTGCCTCTACTGTTGAAGTGTCTGTGGGCTCTTCTGCCTCTACTGTTGTAGTGTCTGTGGGCTCTTCTGCCTCTAATGTTGTAGTGTCTGTGGGCTCTTCTGCCTCTAATGTTGTAGTGTCTGTGGGCTCTTCTGCCTCTACTGTTGTAGTGTCTGTGGGCTCTTCTGCCTCTACTGTTGCAGTGTCTGTGGGCTCTTCTGTCTCTACTGTTGAAGTGTCTGTGGGCTCTTCTGCCTCTACTGTTGTAGTGTCTGTGGGCTCTTCTGCCTCTACTGTTGTAGTGTCTGTGGGCTCTTCTGCCTCTACTGTTGAACTGTCTGTGGGCTCTTCTGCCTCTACTGTTGAACTGTCTGTGGCCTCTTCTGCCTCTACTATTGTACTGTCTGTGGCATCTTCTGCCTCGACTGTTGTACTGTCTGTTGGCTCTTTTGCCTCTACTGTTGAACTGCAGACGCTAATTTGTGTTTTGTATTCCTGTCGCCTCGTTTAGTAGCCTCGGCGACACCTAGTGTGATTTTCTTAACTTCATTTCACCATATTTCCTAAGTAGCCGCAACGCTGGTACTTATGTAGCCCGGAACGTCACTGTGAATACTTGACTAGATGTACTTGCAGAGTCGCAAGTCTCCGAACTCCTTCTATTTCAGAAATATCTCCTGGTTTGAAAGGGGATTTGAGTACCAAAACAAGGCGGGAAAGCACAAGTGATTTGAAAGTAGGAGAACATTATGGAGGAATCTCTGTGTTTTGAAGGAGTCTTTATCAATCCAGTCATTGTCCTGGCTTCTTGAGGTTATCTTGAGATGATTTCGGGGCTTTAGTGTCCCCGCGGCCCGGTCCTCGACCAGGCCTCCACCCCCAGGAAGCAGCCCGTGACAGCTGACTAACTCCCAGGTACCTATTTACTGCTAGGTAACAGGGGCATTCAGGGTGAAAGAAACTTTGCCCATTTGTTTCTGCCTCGTGCGGGAATCGAACCCACGCCACAGAATTACGAGTCCTGCGCGCTATCCACCAGGCTACGAGGCCCCTCAAAGGCCCTGGCTCTCTGGTTTGTTTTGTTATGCACTAAACGTTCGGTCGTCCGACATTATTCCATATGTCAAACATGTCACTTTACACGTAGGAAAGGTGAGAGTGTTTTCTCTACTCCTGCATTCTGTATACGTTCTTAATTTTTACTATATCTGAGTATTAAGAATTTATTACTTGTGAAAATCACATTATTTTCTGTTGCCCAGTTGAAAACGTTATTGATATCTGTTGTTAGTGTCTGAATGTCTTCTACCGAGGTAATATTCTTGATCATTTTAGTATCGTCTACTAAGGAACACACTAAGCTGTGACCTGGAGGTCTCTGTCTGATGTAAGGGTGAGAAGGAGCAGGGCGGTGCCTTCAGGTACACATCTTTTCACTGAGCAGTGAAGAAAACGAGTCAATAAATTATCATTTTAATGTATTGACTGTTTCTCTTTATTATTCATTTGACAGCATATTGAGCACACATTGCCCTACTTATATTTTAATCCTTTAGGCCTCATTTTATGGGCCATCACTCCATGCTCATTTTTTTCAACTGCTTTACAATGTCCGTGTATGCAACTTGTGCATATTTATTTTCTTATAATGCTTCCATCTTTCATGCCGAACCATGTCGAATACCTTCTGACAGTCGAGGAATATGCAGTCTGCCCAACCCTCTCTCTCTCTCTTGTTTGATTTCTGTCATCTTTTTTAAGATGACCAGCAAGTTTGCCAGGCAGGAGTTTCCTTGCTTGACCAATTAACTTTTTCTTTACTATTAAATCCGTGCTTTGATGCAAAGTTTATCTGTTCTCAATGTTCTCCAAGCCAGCTTCGGACTAGGTTCTCTATTAGCTTGCATGTGATATTTGTTAGTGATTTTGTTCTCAAGTTTAACGATTTATCTTTTCCCCCTTTCTTGATGATTGGTGCCACATTAACCATTTTCCAACAGCCGGGAAGTTCTTCCGTGCATAAACAGGAAGTAAATATTATGGCAAGTGGGCTGCACAGTGTTTCAGCTGCCTCTTTCAGTATCCGTGGCGATATTTTGTCTGGTCCCACGGCTTTTGTCAGATCATACTCCAAAAATTGCATATTTTTGGTTCTGGTGTAAATTTTATTCCTCTAGGCTTTCCTGTGGTACTTCCTGTTGAGCTTGGGCTCTAAGCTCTAGGTTCCAGCTAGAATACTTAATGAAAAGTTTATGTTAACTTCCTCGCATACCTCCTTATCATTTTGTATCCTCTCTCAATATTGTCGCGCCTGATGACTTGATCAGTTACAGTCACTTCCTCCGGATATGGCAATTCAACAGCTGTGGCGGAGACTTCTTCGTTCCTTTCGTACTGTGTGTACTCATTTCTGGCCACTTTGAATGCATTGTGATTTCCATCTGGTCTATATTCTCTATATTTCTTCCATTCTCTTTTATTTCTTCGCTTTGCTTCCAGACACTGTCTGTTGAACCATGGGGTAATACTCAGCTTGTTTCTCTTAATCCTTAGTGGTGGCTTAAGTATTTCTTCAGCTCTATTGAGTATGTGCTTTATGTAGTCCACAGTGTTTTGTTTTTGCGTGTGTATGAGTTTGGCATAGATATTTGCGAGTCCATTTTAAAGGTGTCCGTACATACGTTTACATAGAAATGCACAGTAAAGTGAAAACTTCAGTTTACTTAGGTTAATACACTTGTGTATATGTGTTCCTATTAATGTTTTTGCACATGTTCATTTATCTCTACCTGTCTACCTCTCGGACGCAAATTAAGAGTTTTACCTCCCTCACAAATCAAATAAAAATACTTGTTAGTCTTTGGTAAATAGTCCTGGCGACTGTCTCGAAGACAGTCTTGTGAAGAATTGTTTAAGAGTCAAAACTGTCTCAAGCTTTACCGGTTGTGCGTATATAGCTTTAACCTTCCTGCTGCCTCTCACCTGTCCTCCTTCCTCTCCTTCTCCACTTCCTCTCACCTCTTTGTTTATCTGTTGGAAAAGAGCGTCCACGTCCTCCTGCTGGGGTGAGGAACAGCCGTTCACCTTGGCCACCTTCGTCAGCACCTTCATGGTCTCCTGGGGACGTCCCTTCACCAGCAGCCAGCGAGGAGACTCTGGGAGAACCCTGTTGAATTGTTGACTGGATGAATACCCACGGAATGGATGACTGGATGACTGGAATGGGTTGTCAGGTGGTGTAATGGGTTGTCAGGTGGTGTAATGGGTTGTCAGGTGGTGTAATGGGTTGTCAGGTGGTGTAATGGGATGTCAGGTGGTGTAATGGGTTGTCAGGTGGTGTAATGGGTTGTCAGGTGGTGTAATGGGTTGTCAGGTGGTGTAATGGGTTGTCAGGTGGTGTAATGGGTTGTCAGGAGGTGTAATAGGTTGTCAGGTGGTGTAATGGGTTGTCAGGTGGTGTAATGGGTTGTCAGGTGGTGTAATGGGTTGTCAGGTGGTGTAATGGGTTGTCAGGTGGTGTAATGGGATGTCAGGTGGTGTAATGGGTTGTCAGGTGGTGTAATGGGTTGTCAGGAGGTGTAATGGGATATCAGGTGGTGTAATGGGTTGTCAGGTGGTGTAATGGGTTGTCAGGTGGAGTAATGGGTTGTCAGGTGGTGTAATGGGTTGTCAGGTGGTGTAATGGGCTGTCAGGTGGCGAAATTGGGTTTTCATGTGGTGTAGACAGTCACCCTCAGTTGATGTTTAATCGCTTTAACTGTTTATTGTGAAAGATTACACATTGACGTATCCTGATATGGAGACAGTATGAGGGTTCCCCTGCGGTGCCCGGGGGGTGGTCTGTCTCTCCCACAACACCCCTTCCCTTCTACCCCTTCTCCTTTTCCCTTTCTCCTTACACTCTACTTCCTCCATTCTCATTCCCGCCCCTCTATTACTCACTTCCCTTCTCTTCCCTCTCCCCCCTCTTTCCTCCTATCTCCCCATCTTCCCTCATATTTTACTTGTCCCTGTTCTCTCCTCGCCCCATCTCCCTCGCCCATCTCCCTCGCCCCATCTCCCTCGCCCTATCTCCCTCGCCCCATCTCCCTCGCCCCATCTCCCTCGCCCCATCTCCCTCGCCCCATCTCCCTCGCCCCATCTCCCTCGCCCCATCTCCCTCGCCCCATCTCCCTCGCCTCATCTCTGCTCCTAGCTCAAGCAAACATAAAAAGAAAATATATGTGCAAATTCCACACGGATGTTCTCCTTGGGAGTCTGAAGTTCTTCAACATAGCAGTACCATTGATCTGACAAACATCTTCATCAAATTCTTCTTTCCTTTTTAATTAATAATAATAATTACAGAGAGGAAGGGAACTATCAAGGGAAAGTGCGAAGCAATTAAGACAATATAGCACTTGGAAGGGTCAGGATAAGGATTTGGGATGGGACGGGGGGTTAGGAATGGTGCCCAACCACTTGGACGGTCGGGAATTGAACGCCGACCTGCATGAAGCGAGACCATCGTTCTACCGTCCACTATAAGTGGTGGGGTTTTAAATTAAATTTGTAACCTTTCGAATACCTCTTGTATTGATCATCAGAAATCAAATTACAAATATTAAATAAAAATAAATTTAATTGGCAAAACGATGACCTCATATTGGACAGGATTACAAACTATTACCTAAAAGATATAACTCTACTCTCTTATAAGAGATATCTCTTATCTGTTATAATAGATATATTTCTTATTTCTTATAAGTGATAATATACCACATAACAAGAGTTATGTATAACTTTTATCTGTTATAATAGATATCGCTTATCTCTTATTTTCTTATAAGAGATATTGCTTATCTTACATAATAAGCGAGATCTCTTTTAAGAGATACGAGATATCCCTTATACTATAGGTGAAATTAGTATTACCTTATCAATAGGAGCACCATTATTTAGGCCTACACCGAATGGCTTAATCAAATAACCGACATACGTCGGTTTCGATATAAACATTTGTATATGTGTGTTATTTTATTATGCCATTCGCTGCTGCCCTAAATAATGGTGCTCGTATTGATAAGTTAATAATAATTCTGGCTCTGATTTCCGCGAATTATGAGTTTCACTCGGTACACTGTACGTGTATAGTGGCCTCCTTCATATGGGTTACGGATAACCGTTCCGAAGTTGATGTTATCCGGCTCCTCTCCCAACGTGATGCCCAGCCAGTTATCCAGAATTTTGTTAGGGTTATATAATAGTATGTATTTTTTTCCTAGAGGCTTTTTGTTAGTGTTTCTTTTTAAACTTATGTCTTACGTTCTGATCTCTTGTTTTCCGTTTTTTTCTGGACTGCAACACCCTTTTGTTCTGGTGACACATGTTCCTATGGATGGGAGGTTAGTTAAAAAATGTGGCTGTCACACCTTAGCCAGTTTGTTGCTGACGACGACATTAACCGGTGGAAAACGTTTCCAATTTTTTGTGTCCCATTTCACTGCAGTTTTCCCACACACACACACACACATACACACACACACACACACACACACACACACACACACACACACACACACACACACACACACACACACACACACACACACACACACACACACAAACACACACACACTCACACACACACACACACACACACTATAGGAACATACAGGCACAAGTATAGGAACAGGGTCAAGCATGGCAGCCAGAGGTACCAGGGGAACAGACAGGGAAGAGCCAAGGTGATGAAATGAAGTGAATGTTTGCCCAGTTTCTGGAGGACATCAAGAGTGAGATGCAAGAAATGATGCAGGAAATGAAGAACGAAATAAGCAACCTGAAAAGAGAGCTGACAGCAGCAAAGGAGGAAATTAGAGCCCTCAAAGAGAATGGTATCGAGGCTGAGAATCAGAAAACCATCCAGGGAGAAGGTGGTAATAGTTTTTTGGATGAGAATGCCACAATAAAAGCAACATTTGTGGAAATACTAAAAAAAAATAACTCTGAAGTAATGACTGCAGTGATGGAGGTGGCCATGAAAGCAGCCACCTCACAGGAGGCGGCACGCTCCACTAGCAACTGCTGGAAAGGAACAGATCAGTGGTTGCGGTGGGTATTAAAGAGCAGGAAGGCTCTAATAGGACAGAATGGAATGACAAGGACAAAGCAGCAGTGAATGAAGTACTAAAGGCACTAGACATGGAAGAGGCTGAGCATAGCATTGAGAAGGTTTTCAGGCTAGGTTGGTACAACAAAGACCGAGACCGAATGATAAAGATAGTGTGTGCAAACAAGAGCACAAAGGAGAAGATCCTATCAAGGAAGAGCTCCCTGAAAAACGTGGGAAAATTAAAAAAAGTATTCCTCCAGAGAGACATGACAATGGAGGAGAGAGCTGTGGCGGCAGAAGCAAGGAAGAGGCGCAGGGCGAGAGGGGAAAACCAGGAAGTCACAGCTCCCAACACAACACCCCCAGAAGCGAGGGGGGGGGGGGGGACCCACAACCAGCTACCCAGTAACACCAGAAGGGAGGACAACCCCGCCTCCCTCTTCTGCATAGAAAACCCCCCTACCCCAAACCCTCCCTGCCCCCACTCAAATGTTCAGCCAAATCTCCCTCCCCCCACACCCAATCCCCACCTTTCTACCCCTCCCCTCCTCCCGAGTCCTCCCTCCCCCCCTTTCCTTCCCGTCCTCCCTCCCCTTTCACCCCATACCCTCCCTGTCCCTCCCCCTTCAGTGGATCCCCCGCCCCTCATCCCAGTATCCTCTGAGACCCTGTTATCCACCTCACAGTTCCTCACACCCATGGAACAGCCTCCCCCACCAGCAGAACACTCACCAAGGAGGCGATTTGAGAAGGGACAGAAGAAAGTGAGCCTCAAAGCGATGTACACTAACAGATAGAATTACAAATAAAGCAAATGAGCTTGGAGAACGGGTACTAGAGGAAAACCCAGACATAATAGCCCTCACAGAAACAAAGATCACGAAAACGATAACAAACGCACTGTTCCCACAGGACCATTATGTTATGAGGAAAGAGAGGGAAGGAAGAGGTGGGGGTGGTGTAGCTCTGCTGGTAAGAAAAGGCTGGGATTTTGAGGAGATGGATATTCAGGGCTGTGAAGGTTTCAGTTACTACATAGCAGGTACCGTAACAAATGGAGGGGAAAAAATTATAGTCGTAGTCATATATAATCCACCACCAAATGACAGAAGACCTAGACAGGAATATGATAGAAAGAACATGGCCACCATTAACATAATAGAGAGAGCAGCTTCTGTTGCTAGCAGGAATGGATCTGGACTACTAATTATGGGAGACTTCAACCATGGGAAGATAGATTGGAAGAACAGAGACCCGCATGGAGGACCAGAAACATGGAGGGCTAAGCTGCTGGACGTGGCAACAAGAAACTTTCTAAGCCAGCACCTCAAAGAACCAACAAGAATGAGAGGAGAAGATGAACCAGCAATGCTTGATTTGATATTTACCCTAAATGAGTGGGATATAAGAGAAGTTAAGACACCTGCTGGATCTGGATGTTAGAAAGGCTGTTGGTCCAGATGAGATCTCACCATGGAAACTGAAAGAGTGTGCAGAGGCACTTTGCTTGCCACTCTCCATAGTGTATAGTAAGTCACTGGAGACGGGAAACCTACCAGAAATATGGAAGACGGCAAATGTGGTCCCAATATACAAAAAGGGCGACAGGCAAGAGGCACTTAACTACAGGCCAGTGTCCTTGACTTGTATACCATGCAAGGTGATGGAGAAGATCGTGAGAAAAAACCTGGTAACACATCTGGAGAGAAGGGACTTCGTGACAAATCGCCAACATGGGTTCAGGGAGGGTAAATCTTGCCTTACAGGCTTGATAGAATTCTATGATCAGGTGACAAAGATTAAGCAAGAAAGAGAGGGCTGGGCGGACTGCATTTTCTTGGACTGTCGGAAAGCCTTTGACACAGTACCCCATAAAAGGTTGATGCATAAGCTGGAGAAACAGGCAAGAGTAACTGGTAGGGCGCTCCAGTGGATAAGGGAATACCTAAGCATTAGGAAGCAGAGAGTTATAGTGAGGGGTGAGACCTCTGAATGGCGTGAAGTCACCAGTGGAGTCCCACAGGGCTCTGTGCTTGGACCTATCCTGTTTCTGATATACGTAAATGATCTCC